AAAAGTGTTCAAAATAGCTCAAATAGCTTCTACATAATAATATATATTATATGATATTACACATTATTATTATGAAGGATTGTAGTAAAATTTCAATTGCGATTGGTGGCAATTTATGAGTACCATCATTCTTAAATTCTCAGATAAGCATTTGACTCAATTAATGCAATTTTTCAAATTATATTTTACAACTTCAAACTGAAACTTAATTTTAATTAAACACTTTAAGGCTGAACTATCTATTAAATCTATTAAATAAGTATCCTTTCTACTTATACTAATAGGAAATATATGAATGTTTTTCTATCATCAATCATTTTGCACTATAACTTCAAATTTTTATCGAGTAGTCTCTATCTTTGTTTTCCAACATTGAAATTTTTAAGATAAGTCAAATAATAACATAAAATACACAAAAATTAATTTTTAAAATAAGTTAAATACATTTCGGATTCGAATTAAAGTGAACTTTTCTTTTTGGCATATCAAAAATACATTCCATTAAAAAGGTACTATATCCGTCAAGCCCAAATACCGTTAGCGGTGTGAAAGTGCATACAATAATGTAAATTACAACTCATATATTTGCTTCTGTACTAGGACTTCGATACAAATGGCCAGTTCAGAAGATACTTATGCAGAAAGCACAGACTACGAGTCTATTCTTAGTAATACAGAAGACACCAAGTGCGTTGATTATTATAAAGCACTTTTAGAAAACTCTCCACTATTTAATAAAGTAATCTGTGAAAAGGCGTTGGCATGCCTACGCAGGTTGCCGAACTCCACTAATCAGAAGACTATTCAAGAGATTAGTAAGCGGTTAGGGGTAAGTTGGTTATTTATTTCATTTTGCATAAAATTAAAAAAAAATATTTGTTTTAACTTTTGACATAAGATTATGTCAATAAAATCGAGTTATTTATTTTTTAAGTTAAGTCCAAAGCAAGTGAGAAATGTCTTGATGCCTAAACTGCTTTTAAGTGGATTAAGCACTTCGAAGGATAAATCGGAACAGCGGAGTAGTGGAGTAATAAATACGGAGGTCACAGAGGCAAAAGGCGTGACTGAAGACATAACTGAAAACAAAACTGAAGACATGACTGAAGATACAACTGAAGACATGACTAAAGTCATGACTGAAGAGATGGCTCAAAAAATCTCTGAAGACGTGACTGAAGATATAACTTGTGCGGTTTATAATATTTCAAACAATAAGAAGAAGAAAGGTGCAGAAGCCAAAAAATAAAAGTCGAAAAACATCGATGGGTGAGTGTATATAATATAGCCGATGTTAAAGTCAGTATCCTTAGAGTAGAAGCAGGAGAGACGAAATAGACTAACAAAATATGAATGCTACTGATGAAATCAATACTCCTTGTTGCCGAAATTGAAATTTTGTAAGCAACATTAGAACTAAGTACGTGAGTAATATTAGTTTGAACTTATTGATACATATAATTTTATCAATGAATATTTTTGTGATATAAAATTCATTGTATATTGTTGTATTTAACAACAATATTTATAAAAAACTTTGCAATCTCTTGCAGCTATTTAATTAGACAACTTTGCAAACACATTTGTTGGAAGGATGAGGAGAGCTCGGATTTTATTACAATCATTAAATAACAATTTGGTTGAATATTATATGGAAATCATTTATACCACGAACTTGTATAGAAAATTATAAGTTTCGTTTTCGGTAGCAAAATTATAAGTTTTGTATTGAAGTTATATATATCTTTTTAATAAAATACTATGTTTTGTTTTTTTTTTTATAAAAATAGTTTACAACTATCATTTTAAGCATATTTTAATAAATTAGCTGCTACTTAATCTGGTCACCTAAATAGGAAAGAAGCGATCGCATCTAGCAGAATATCGATATTATTGTAGGTTTAATTAAGTTTTTTTTTTTAAGAATGTGTATTTATTGAATCGCTTTAAATTAAAGCCTAACAATAAGTTTTAGAATCATAAAATCTAATAACATTACATTACAAATTATTCTATATAAACATACCATAATGAAATACTCGTATATAGTGATTTCTAAATTATTTAAAGGGGCCTTTGAATAAGTAGCCAGGGCTTATTTACCATATTTCACAGAGTATAACTTAAATTAATCAGGGTGATTTTTGGGAAAGCAGGATGGCGGGTCTATTATTCAGTTTCAGTCTAGAGGAAGTTGTCATATTAGCAAGAGGTTTAGCTAGCGGATTCACATAGCTTTCTGCCTTATTCTCTCGAACTCGACTTTAACCATCTGAACTCTCAAATCGAAATATACAGCCATATAGCAGTAAGCCATACATCCAGATTGTCTTAATAACTTGGTTGTATAGCAAAACTTTGTACTCTAAACATAAGGGAAACTGCTGTCCGATTAGCCAGCGAAGGCTTATAGTCTTGAGCTTCATTTGAGTTCTTTTTGTTTCAATATCTTTTCACCAAGTTAAGCGTTTATCAAGGGGAATACCAAGGTAAGTCACTGTTTCTGTTTGCGAAACTACTATTCCGTCGAGAGTGGTAGGTAGTGAGGAGGATCTGTTAAGAGGCAATGTTATATGACGACCCTTTTGCCATAGTGATAATCAGCTTTCTATGAAGCACAAATGATTTTGCAGTTGACTGCAAGCGTTCTTATGTCGGCACAAAATAGCTGTATCGTCAATATATTAAATGTTGATATTATTAAATTGGTATTTGTGGGGATATATGAAGTAAAGATGAGGTGTAAGATTGGACCAAGAACATTGATGACATTGTGAAATCATATATTTTAAGAATAATTATGGAGAAAAGAATCATAACAAATTCAGTATATTTAACTTTTCTTACATCATCTCATGGCTACTAAAAAAAATTATACGAGTCTTTTGGCTTTACAAGAAACATAAGAAACTATAGTTTAGAACTAGTCTGCCTTCAATAAGTGAACAAATGATGATACGAAAATATATATGGATGGGTTGTATTCTGCGCAGACGACATCACTAAACAAGTTCTGGACACTAACCCCCAACACTCTAGAAGATTGGCGCAGTATATGGAGGAGGCAGATTAAAACAGAGCTATGCTCTAACGAAAAAAAGTTGGAGCGAAGTTAAAATTTTAGAGTCAGACAGAAACCAATGAAAATGATTTATTACGGTCCTATGTTTCTTGTAGTATCTAAAGGGTTAAATGTATATATATACTATGAAAAAAAGAAACCAAAAATGAATTGGAAATTTGTAGCTGCAATATCTGAGATATTCCTTTATTATTATTCTTAATTACGAAACACGTTTACCGCTTCTTATGTCTAGAAGCCAACTGCCCCATGAACGACTAAGCAAAAAGCAGTGCACAATGAACAGTGTTGCCTTGTGCACTTTTCGGTAATGCATTTATTAAGTACTCTACAGTAACAAAAAAATATATGTGTTAATATTAACCAGCAACAAAGTATTAGTAGATCAAGCTATCATCTACTTTAAAACTTTGAAGCATTGAAGAGATCACTTCGGCGTTACAAATATTAAAAATAAAAATATTTTTCTTACATTTAATAACCACATCTTATAGTTTCTAGTAACTGGAAACAGCAAATATGTTGTTTATATTTGAATCCATAACTCTATCAGATGTTATCATCCAGATGTAGAAAGCTACATCCGGAGAAAGCTACATCCGGATGTAGTTCGAAATAAAAAGTAAATTTCATACAGTCAATTTAAGAGTACTAAAATCGCTACATTAATAACCTAGACATTCTTTTTCTATAATAGTTAAAAACCCCGTATGTATCAGTGTGTGTTTGACTTTACTTAGAGCGCCTCTTAGTATATTGCATTAGCGTATAATTCTTATGAAATATTCTCCTTTTTTATGATATGGTCACTTATATTCAAAGAGAGTTTCAACTATAGATGAATTTCAAATGCGTAGTATTTCTCTTTCATTATTCTTGACAGTTAAGAAAAACGTAGTCAAATTAATGTTTTAATTAAATATAATAAATGAAAAGGTTTTATAATAATTATATTCATCTTCCATTTTATTTATTTAATTTGAATTTAAAGAATTAATAACGCTAAATTAACAAAAATAAACTTACTTTTTTGGTTTACATTATTCAAAGCACTTCAAAAGTATTTCTTAATGGTAATGAAATTTATTTTAAAAACTTTTTAACCTCACCTCCATCGGTCTCCGGTTTTAAGTTAAATAAAATAACTTGAGTAAATTAACTTGACTGTCCTGAGTAAAGTGACACTGGCAAGGAATGCGCATTCCTTTCTTT